CGGGATCCCGGCGGAAGAGGCTCGAGCGCCGGCCATGACCATCGTCCTCATCGAGCGCGTGGCGGAAGGAGCGCCGCCAGAAGCTCAGCGTCGCCAGGTCTTTCATGGGCGGCAGAAAATTGCGAAATGCGAAAATGGACGTGGCGCGACCCCTGAAACGGCCCTGTCCGCGGTCGTGCATATTTGACCCCACCCGGGTCCTCTCGATTCGGATGCAGATTCCGTTCGATCCTTTTCACTCGCATTTCTTATATATTGGAATCCAGAGGGGGTGGGGACCGGCCATGGACCTGGTACTACTAGAAAATCACAACAACCACACTCAAACAAACACCAAGTGCGGGTTGACAAAGGCCCAATCAAATCGACGACGCGCTCTCTGCGTTCCATGCGTTCTGGGCTGCTGTCGCCGGCGAGAACATGCCTCGATGACGGGCCAAAATCTCGTGCCTTCTTGTCCAACGGCGCTGTCCGTTGGCGCCAGAAAAATTCCACCAAACGGTCGATCCTCCTGATCCTCATCTCGGCCGCATCGGATTCGCAGGATTCATCATCTCGGTCGTGGACCTACATTTGATCGAGTAGCTGCGCGCTGCCGCCAAACCCGCGGTTGAAAAATTAGGACGTTCAACAACCCGAGCTGCACGATCGGATTCAGCCGTCGACGTACCTCACTACGAAATACTACATAAGTACTTAGAGGTGCTCCGATAGACCTTATCGTACTTCGACGCATGTGGTACGACGTTCCGTGCAGAGGCAGTTTGCGACGCTTGCACCTGGCGTACCGTGCGGTCATCCGGATACACTGGATGTTCCGGATAAAGATACGCTTTTCGTGCCGGAGGATGAGACGTGGCGGCCGCTTGATATTATATTGGGCGATGGAGGATGGAGGCGGGCGATGAAAGACCGTGGCACGTCACATGGCAGACTGCTTGCGTCGGTTGGTAGATTGCAGATTATGTCCTGCACTATTACTGATGGGGCCAACGATCTCTCTCTGCGGCATGGCAGGTCACCGCGCAGGTGTCGTCTTCTAAACCTACAGTATCAACGCGTGATTGCGTGCAGTGCCATGTGCTCGTCGATCCGTGTTCTCGCTGGCTTCGAGAGATCGTTGGTGTAGATATGGTTGTCTCCCGAAGGAAGAGTCTCTGCCGCGTCACAGTGATGCAGATGCTCTGACTACTCCTTAGCCTTTAACCTACCTCGTGTAGTTGTCTCGACAAAGCCACTCGCTACAAAGCCAACCGGTCCATGACTCAGCAATCGAGAGCCGAGCCATCCCAACCTGGTACCAGCGGTTGCGGTGGCGGCAATAGCAGGGCGACGGTTCACGGCGTACTAGTACGCAAGGCGACTGGTCGCGTGGTTGGTAGAGATGACGCTGCATCGTCACACGCATCGCCCGCGTTTTCGGCACATGACATACGCGCCTCGTCGCTTGGCGGATGGTCCCTTTATGATACGTAGTAAAATGCCGAAATGGTAGTAAAATGCAAATCTTATACGGTAACACTATTTACGTGCACAGCCAGGACGAGTTGACACTATTAGTCGCGATGGATCTTCAAAAGGCCGTATCTTCGAAACCAAGGCCATGGGCAACCAGCAAGGCAGCTACAACCCCGCGCGCGACGCTGCCGAGGCCGGTCGCCGGCCCGACGACCACGAGCTCCTCCTCCTCTTCTCGCTCCAGAAGCGCTTCATGACGCGCCTCGTCGAGTGTCCCTACGTACCAACCTCTGCTGATGCAGCACCGGGCGACTCATGGCCGTGCATAGCATCTTGGCCTGCTTGGCCGGTACTGGGACAGCATGCACGGCAACCACATGCGCAACAATGCGCTGCCGTTCCAGCGCAACAGCGCCGAGTGGCAAACGATCGGTTTCACGAGCTGCAACCCTGGCGACGACATTCGCGCCGGCGGCGAGCTCGGCCTCGAGTGCCTAGGTGCAACTTGCTTGCTCTAGCCTCGCCTCATCCTCGCATGCCTAGTCTTCTTTGTCGAGAACTACCCCGGCGAAGCGCGGATGCTCAACCGCCATCTCGGGTACGTGCGTGGTCGTCTTGGCGAGTTGAAGATGTACACGACTCACTCGGCTCTGCTTAGGTACCCGTTGGCCAAGGCCGCGGTCGCCGTCGTCCGTGTGCTCATGGAGATCCTCCATGTCGTGGCCATGGACGGCTCCAAGGTGCTTCCTACGTCAAAACAGAATTTTTCACAATACGCTGTCGACTAGGGCAATTTTCCGGTGCAAGAAACACTGTATTGGCAGCTCCTCGATGCCAACGCGAGCTTCTTCCAACTCTTTGCATTCTGCCTCCTCATGTTCGACGAGCTCTACTGCGAGTGGGTCTCGACGACCGGCGTCGCCGCGCTGGCCTGCGACACGTCGATCGTCGCGCAGCTCGCAGACCAAGGCAAAGCCAAGCTCCTCGCCACGCTCCGCCGCGCGCCCGAGCACCTCACCGACCTCATTGTGCGACATGCAAGGAAATTGTACCCACTTGTCTGATGGATTGTCGATAGGATCTCTGTGGGAACGGCCAGATTCTGCGCAAACTCCACTTGAAGCTCGACTTGGACGCGAAGAAGCCAAAGCCGAATGCGTGGTCCAAGCCGGTGGACCTCTTCTTCGGTCTCGAGCAAAAGGGGCATTAAGGTCCATGGCGCAGCGCCGCAACCATCGCGGTCGCGCGGTAAGGCGTCGCCTCCATCTAGTAGTCGAGTCGATTGAACGTAAATGTCGCGTGAATATGTATACTACATGCCTGTACCGTCATTGGCGTCACATTGACATCCGGGTGGCTTCGCTTGAAATGCAAGAGATCGCGAAGGGCGAAAACGAGCGCATTGCGCGCCGTCTCGTCGCTGAATCGGCATTCGAGGACGTTTTCCGAGCCAATGATCGAGCAGCACTACCCAGTTAGTGCATGTTGAGAATGACGCGGCGTGCGCCGACGTGCAATCGACCTCGGACGCCGGCGGCGGCGGCGACAGATTGAAAAAGGCGATGCTGTTGACGCCTTTCCGGACCTCGGCCACGTCGCTGAGCAGTACGCTCTTGAAGACACGGTCTAGTGACGCGCCGCCGTGACGCAGCAGCAATTATACGATGCACTGTACGTTTGTTGTCGCCAATGCAAAGGTGACTGGTACTCGGGTTGATCCAGAGGTAGCTGCGCGCAGGCGTCAAGTACGCCGCGAACCGAGTCACTTCGACGCTAGCGCAGTTGTAAGAATATACTAGTACGCCATAAAAGCGAGGAACGTAAATTGGTACCCGGTAGCCAAGACACTGTACACGTGTGCGGCGGTCGCTGGAGACACCACGGCTTTGTGGTGGGGTGTCGTCCACTCGCGACTGGCGAGCTAGCAGAGACCGATTCAAAAGACGCTCTACATCGGCATGGACCGTACGAGAGACGTGCTGTCTTGGAGAACGTCCAAGACAACACGCAATCGCACAACCGCTTGGTCCCGAGCAGCGGTCGTTGTGAGCTCGAGGTCCCACGTGGCTTCCGAGCCGACGATCGAGAAGCACTTCAAGTTGCGTGATTCTAGATCAAGGTATATCACGGCGGTTACCTGGTCGGGATCTGGCTCGAGCGTCGAGCGCGCAAAGCCCGCCGACTGCGCGCCGACGCGAACTTCGGCAATGTCGCGAAGGTACAATCCCTTCTCCGATTTGGCCGTGACGCCACGCCGGCGACCAAACGACATGGACTTGGCGAGGATGCGCATGCTCGTGCGGTGCAGCGGGCGCATGATGAGCCGCTCGCCATCTAAAAACACACCATTTTCCACGTGGCAGCACCACAAGCCCGTATGACCTTTGTCGAGCGAGATGACCTTCCATTTTTTCGCCTGTCGCTTGGCATTGTACTTGCACACGCGAATGCCTTCGTGGAGCAGCTTCCAAAAAAGGAGCAGATCCCGGTCGAGATGGTGCATGAGCGTCATCAAGTGCACCTAGCCATGCCATGGTGATGCGTGCGGTCTTGCAGGACGCAGCGCTCAACCGCAGTCGTCTTGATGTGTGTCGATGTTCGAACGCGGCGGTACCAACCTTGAAGACGCCGCGCTGCTGCCTCGGTAGTCTCGTTGACGGGGATAGCATGGCAGCTAGGGACAACAATAAGGTCAACTGAGCACGCTATCTCGTACCTTGCCAAGGACGCCTCCCGCTGCGCAGTCTATGACCATGTCTTAGCCAAAACCAGCTAGGCATTGCGTACGCCATGTGTTGCAGCTGGCACTGGCGGCTCGATAATGCGCAGGAGGACTGCGCTGTTCAACGACCGCTGGCCCTCGAGGCCGGCAGGGACTAGCATCGCGCGCTGATTCTGGCGCGCAGCACCGTTTTCAATCACCGGTTTCGTCGCCTCTTTTTATATCGTATATTTAGGACCGACTATTGTTGTTGAAATGAGTTATTCTGTTTAGAACTACGTCTCCATGGGCGACGACCGGACCACGGCAAGGCAACACACGGTTGATTTGCTTCGTGGGCAGCACGTTGTTGCTCGTGCAAAAATCTGGTGACACGATCCAGCGGCGGCAGAAAACAGTGTTTTCTTCTTCTGGGTGGATCGCACGGATCGAGATCAGATTCCGACGTGGGCTGGGAGCAGATGCGATCTTGCGAGCGAAGGGGCGACCTTCTCGGACCAGCCTCTGATCCGGTCCGTGGGACACGCCAATTGAGCCGATTCGCTCCATAGAAGTCGCTGCAACGGCCCCCGCAACAATCTTTCGTCACTTCAACAAGTGCGTTTGCTGATCTTGTCGCCACTTGGGCGATTGCCGTGCGAGTAGCCAATCGCGGCCATCGCCAAAAACGGAGATGTCTTTTTTATGACGCGCTTCAGTTTTCTGCTCGCACAGGGCGCCACGTCATGGTCGCGGTTTCTTAGCGTTCTGTCGCGGCTTGGATTTCGGAGCAAGTGCGTACGCTATGCCGAAGTACGCACCGAGGCTTGTTGACCGAAGGGCACCAGAAGAGTGTAGAGGGTGGGACTCGTATCTCGGCCGAGTAGCCAGCAGCGAGAATAAAGATTCTCATCGGTCCATTCCATTGTTCATCATTCCATTATTTGAACGCGCGTGCTACGATGGAGCCTGACATGGGCCCCAGCGACGGCTGGTACAACGACAGCAACGATGACGATGGCGCCGACGACCAAGCGCTTCGCTCCGGCAGCTTTGCCTACAGTGAGCGCGCCTCGTCGTTCACAGCCAATTCAGCCGCGTTCTCGCGCGGCTCGATCTTGCAGCGCGACATCAAAGCAACGCCGGTTGATGCTGCGGCCCACGGCCGGTCGTGGGGCATACGCTACGGCGGCCGCCTTCGGGTATGCGTCATACAATCCCATATTTTATCTGGACATGTGACATGCGATGCTAGCGCTGGCCTGGTGTACTGCTGCTCGTTGTCATTGTGGGCGCAAGCGTGGCGGCCATCACGTACGGTGCGACTACATCGCGCGAGGCGGCGCGCACACGCGCGTTCGACGTGCAGAAGCGACTGGCGCTGGAGCGCGCGATTGCCGATGGCACGACGAGCGGCTCCAACGTCGACGACGTCGACGTCGCCGACGATGGCCAAGTCAACAACCCTCAAGTGTACCGGCCGAGCGGGTGCCAGTTGCCCAACTACATTAGCAAGAACGGCAAGATCTACGCGGTCGCCACAAACGGCACGGAAGTTCCGATCCAGATCAAGGGCGTCAACTGGTTTGGCATGGAAACGTACGTACCAGAGTCTGAAAATCTGGCAATCTGGCACTCGGGATGCTGAGGCCTCTCGTCTAGGGGCATGCGGGCGCCGTTTGGGCTCTGGGACAACGACCAGAACGGCACGACGGTGGTACGCACCACAATCAAGTCCAGATCCTGGCTCTCACCACCGGATTCTAGTACGCAGTCGCTCAATTCCTCGCCAACAACAAGTTCAATTCGGTGCGCATGCCGCTCTGCGTCTCGAGCATCCTCGAGAACAAGGCGCCCGAAGTGTCGATCATCAACCGCGTCACCAACCGCGCACTGGATCTGACGTCGTATCTTGGGTTGCTCCAGACGGTGACCCAGTCGCTCGGGTTTCGCCAGATCTCGGTCATGATCTCGATGCACACGCTCGACATTTACAACCGCGAAGGCTCGCTCTGGTACGGCAAGACGCTGTCAACCGACGACTTTCTCAAGGCTATTGACATGCTCACGGCCGCGCTCTGCTCGGACACGTACTGGAACGTCCTTGGCGTTGACGTCAAGAACGAACCGTGGGAAGGGACTTGGGGCACCGGCCTCAAAAACGATTTCCGCGCAGCTGCCGAGCTCATTGGCGCGCGCATTCTCAAGGGCTGTCCGAAATGGCTCGTCTTTGTCGAAGGCGTCAACGCCCAGCATACAATCGTGCTTGATGGCCAAGAGTACGGCTACTACGACTGGTTTGGTGGCGGACTTCACAAGGCCGGCGAGTACCCCGTCGTCCTCCCGACACCCGAGAAGCTCGTGTACGCGCCGCACTACTACACGCCGGCGGTGTTTCCGCAGTACTATCTCTTCGGCGGCGGCAAGGTCGGGGCGGGCAACGCCATCAACGGCTTCGTCGAGCTCGACGACGAGAAGCTCTTGGGCCGTGTGACCAATACCATGTACGACATGTTTGGCTATTTGAACGCCAAGCAAGATGCAGCGGTCGTGCTTGGCGAGTTTGCGGGTCTCTACACCAAAGACGAGCACCCGATGAAGACGACGCAGCGCTGCACGGACTTTACGATTCAAGCGATTTTGAGCGAGAGTTATGCCGGGGGCTACATGTGGTCACTCAACCCCGAGTCCGCGTACCAGTACAACCCGGCCGATACGCCGGGCAACTATGTGGAAGGTCTCTTGAATCTGGATTGGCGCTCGGTGAACGCGCCGTTTTTGAAAGCCATGAAGCCCTTGGATGCGATGCCGCACCTCAAGATGATCCCGTGCTTTAGCACCTGACTACTTGCAGAAAAGGGAATTGCATATTATACTAGTAGATTGCAAGACCACTTCAATTTTACTTGGTCCATCTTCAGAGATCGCGACGCGCCATTGACCACTGTGGGGTTGCCTCAATCGAAGCTCGTCAGTGTCTCCGTCGGTCTGCCAACGCACCAAATGATATAATACTAGTACGAGATGCGGAGACGCACAGAGCATGACGTGGACGAAAACGATCACAAAATGTCTTCCATCCGGATGCACCAGACTATCCTAGGTATCCTGTCCGCTGTTGACGCCAACCAAGGGAATGAATATCCCTTGACGCCAACCGAGCGCAAAAAATCAGAAGTCGCTCCTCGATGGCTTCTCGTCCGCCGAATCGGAATCTGCTGCGCACCGAATTGTGCCAGAAGCTGGTCCGTCATCTCGCGACCAGGGTTCTGAAGCCGTCCTTGTGAAACATTTTCAATTTTCTGCGCCCATTCGCAGAGCATGAATGCACTGGTGGGAATCTGCTTTCAAGATGCGATTTCTCGGCGCAGCGTTCCATGAAAGACGCGCCAAAACGGCATCCGGAAGGTTGAGCCCTCGATTTCGCCACGAAAAACGTAGCACAAGTTTTTTGAGCCCTCGATTAAAACTCAAGCACAAGTCGAGTCAATAGACAATATTGATGCGCTCCTACGCTGGCCGCTACGAGCTACGAAAAAGGCTGGCGAGCAACCCGCTCCTTTCGAAGCGCACAGTAATTCGCCTAAATCGTACCTCGTCGAACAACCCGTTACGTTCCACGACGCAAATCCCGCGTCGCAAGTCTCATCTAAGGGAATACGATCCGGATACCGTGCGACGGTTACAGCGACTGCGAGGTCGACCGTGTAGCACTTCCCCATTCGACGACGAGCGAACGGACCATGGCCAGCGACGGCTACGACCGCATGAGCGAGCCCGACGAGCGCCGCAGCAGCTTCTCGTACAGCCAGCGTGGCGCCTCGTCGGCTGGCATCGATGGCTTCACGCGCAGCTCGATCCTCGACCGCGATATCGTGGCCGCGCCCGTCGACCACGCAGTGCCCATTCCGCCCAAGGCCTTCAAGGGCCGCATCCGCGTATGCCCAATGTCATCTACAGCCATGTACTCATGTCGACGATGGGCGTAGCGTTGGCCCGGCGTGCTGCTCTTGCTCGTCATGATTGCCGGCTCGGTTGCAGCCATCGTGTACTTGGCCCAGCACTTTCGGGGCTTGGCGCAAGCGCGGGCAACCGACGTGCAGAAGCGCCTCGCCAAAGAGCGCTCGATTGCCGACGGCACGACGAGCGGCTCGAGCTCGGGCTCGACCGACATCGCCGAAGATGGCCAAGTCAACAACCCCGAGGTGTACCCGCCGAGCGGGTGCCAGCTGCCCAACTACGTGAGCAAGAACGGCAAGCTCTACGCAGTCGCCAAGAATGGCACGGAAGTCTCGTTCCAGATCAAGGGCGTCAACTGGTTTGGCATGGAAACGTACGTAGCAGACGCCCAATCTGGCCTTCGGGGTTGAACCTTCGTATTCTAGTGGCATGCAAGCGCCGTTTGGGCTATGGGACAACGACCAGAACGGCACGACGGTGGTACGCACCACAATCATGTCCCGATCCTGGCCCTCACACGGCGAGTCTAGTACGAAGTTGCCAAATTCCTCGCCAACAACAAGTTCAACTCGGTGCGCGTGCCCCTCTGCGTCTCGAGCATCCTCGCCAACAAGCCGCTCGAAGCATCGATCGTCAACCGCGTCACCAACCGCGCTCTGGATCTGACGTCGTTTCTGAGCCTGCTCCAGACGGTGACCCAGTCGCTCGGGTACCGCCAGATCTCGGTCATGCTTTCCATGCACACGCTCGACCTGATGAACCATGGCGGCTCACTCTGGTACGGCTCGACGGTCAGCGAAGCCCAATTCCTCCAGTCCATCGACATGCTCACCGAGGCGCTCTGCTCGGACACGTACTGGAACGTCCTTGGCGTCGACGTCAAGAACGAGCCGTGGGAAGGCACGTGGGGCACTGGCCTCAAGAACGACTTCAAGCTCGGCGCCGAGCTCATCGGTGCCCGTGTCCTCAAGGGCTGTCCGAAATGGCTCGTCTTTGTCGAAGGCGTCAACGCGCAGAACGATGTGACGCTTGATGGCCAAGCCTTTGCGTACTACGACTGGTTTGGCGGCGGGCTCCAGAAGGCCGGCGCCTTCCCCGTCGTCCTCCCAACCCCCGAGAAGCTCGTGTACGCGCCGCACTACTACACGCCGGCGGTGTTTCCGCAGTACTATCTCTTTGGCGGCGGCAAGGTCGGGGCTGGGAACGCCATCAACGGCTACGTCGAGCTCAGCGACGAGAAGCTCTTAGGGCGTGTCGCGCAGACCATGCACCAGATGTTTGGCTATTTGAACGACAAGAAGGACGTCGCGGTGGTTCTCGGCGAGTTTGGCGGCCTCTACACCAAGGACGCGCACCCGATGAAGACGACGCAGCGCTGCACGGACTTTACGATCCAGACGATGCTGAATGAAAACTACGCCGGCGGCTACATGTGGTCGCTCAACCCCGAGTCCGCGTACCAGTACAACCCCGCCGACAAGCCCGGGCACTTCACGGAAGGGCTCGTGAACGACGATTGGCGGTCGGCTAACGTCCCGTTTTTGAAGGCCATGAAGGCCATGGACGCGATGAAGGACCTCAAGATGATGCCGTGCTTTCCCATCGAGTAGAGAAGAGTGGACGTGAGAATGCATGAGCTTTTTGTGTTACGAATCGGAGAGCGTCTGAGCAGACGACGGTACGAAGCTGAGGCAAGAGGTCTCCGTAGCAGACTCCAAAGCACCTCAAGTAGAGCACACAACACTTCATTATAGTCGTTGGCCTGCACTTACGATGACAGGAGCGACAAACTTGCCAACGACGTGTGCGATTCTTGTCGATCGATCGAGAAAGTGCTGGATAGATAGATAGATAGATAGATAGATAGATAGATAGATAGATAGATAGATGGGAATGTCCGTGTCGTGGACGATGGCGTGTGTTGTCACGAATGCGCCACGCAGTATCAAGTTGATACTACGTAGTAGCTGGGAGGTATATCACCCGATCAGTTGAATCCCTTGAAGGATTGATTGTATGTCTTGGATAAGGATTGATTTTATGTCCAGGATACTAGCAAGGCATGTCATCCAGCCGCACCATCGACATGGTCGGGTCAAACTGCGAAGGCATAGCTCGCGATATCGAATGGTATGGATTAGAGTTCAAATGTATACGAGAGGATCGCAGGCGTCTCTTTAGCGTCGCTCGCCTTGGCCTCGTCCTGCTCGTCGTCGTTGGTCTTGCCGTCGTCCTCGGCGCCTTTCTCTTCGGCGTACTTGGACGTGGCAAACCCCGACGGTGCGCCGCGAAGCCCCGCAAAGTACGTGACCGTCTTGGTCGGTTGGTTCCGCGGTCCGTGCCCGTCTGCGTCGCATTCT